ATGAAGTAAAAGAACTGAACAGAAGATTTCAAAGGGCGGCTTGAGAAGACAAAGTAAAGTATTATAATGACATGTGCAAAGAGCTGGAGATAGAAAACCAAAAGGGAAGAACACACGCAGCATTTCTCAAACTGAAAGAACTGAAAAAAAAATTCAAGCCTCAGGTTGCAATAGTAAACGATGCAGGAAGCATCAAAAGAAGATGGAAGAAATACACAGAGTCATTATACCAAAAAGAATTGGTCGATGTTCAACCATTTCAAGAGGTAGCATATGATCAGGAACCGATGGTACTGAAGGAAGAAGTCCAAGCTGCACTGAAGACTTTGGTGAGAAACAAGGCCCCAGGAATTGATGGAATATCCATGGAGATGTTTCAACAAACAGATGCAGCTCTGGAAGTGCTCACTCGTCTATGCCAAGAAATTTGGAAGAAAGCTGCCCGGCCAACCAACTGGAAGATATCAGTATTTATGCCTATTCCCAAGATCAGGTGATCCAACAGAATGTGAAATTATTGAACAATATCATTAATATCACATGCAAGTAAAATTTTACTGAAGATCATTCAAAAATGGCTGCAGCAGTATATCGACAGGGAACTGCCAGAAATTCAAGCCGGATTTAGAAGAGGACATGGAACTAGGGATATCATTGCTGATGTCAGATGGGTCCTGGCTGAAAGCAGAGAATACCAGAAAAATGTTTACCTGTGTTTTATTGACTATGCACAGGCATTCGACTGTGTGGATCATAACAAATTATGGATAACATTGTGAAGAATGAGAATTCCAGAACACTTAATTGTGCTCATGAGGAACCTGTACATAGATCAAGAGGCAGTTTGAACAAGGGGATACTGCGTGATTTAAAGTCAGGAAAGGTGTGTGTCAGGATTGTGTCCTTTCACCATACCTAGTCAATCTGTATGCTGAGCAAATAACCTGAGAAACTGGACTATATGAAGAAGAACGGGGCCTCAGGATTGGAGGAAGACTCATTAACAACCTGCATTATGCAAATGACACAACCTTTCTTGCTGAAAGTGAAGAGGACTTGAAGCATTTACTGATGAACATCAAAGACCACAGCTTTCAGTATGGATTACACCTCAACAGAAGGAAAACAAAAATCTTCGCAAGTGGACCAGTAAGCAACTTCATGATACATGGAGAAAAGATCAAAGTTGTCAAGGATTTCATTTTGCTTGGATCTGCAATCAACACCCATGGAAGCAGCAGTCAGGAAAGCAAAAGACGCATTGCATCGGGCAAATCTGCTGCAAAAAACTCCTTTAAAGTGTTAAAAAGCAAAGATGTCACTTTGAGGACTAAGGTGCACCTGACCCAAGCCATGGCATTTTCACTCGCCTCATATGCACGCGAAAGCTGGATGATGAATAAGGAAGACCGAGGAAGAATTAACACCTTTGAATTGTTGCCTTGGTGAAGAATATTGAACATACCATGGACTGCCAAAAGAACGAACAAATCTGTCTTGGAAGAAGTACGACCAGAGAACTCCTTAGAAGCAAGGATGGCGAGACTACGTCTTACATGCTTCGGACACGTTGTTAGGAGGGATCAGTGCCTGGAGAAGGACATCATGGTAAAGTAGAGGGTCAGCGAAAAAGAGGAAGACTCTCAACAAGATGGATTGGCACAGTGGCTGCAACAATGGGCTCAAGCATAACAACGATTGTGAGGATGGCACAGGACCAGGCAGTGTTTTGTTCTATGGTACATAGGGTCGCTGTGAGTCGGAACTGACTTGATGGCACCTAACAACAGCAACAGTCTTTACGGAAGCAGACTGCTACATCTTTCTCCCACAGAGTGGCTGGTAGGTTCAAACTTCCAGTCTTTTGTTTAGCAGCCAAGCGCTTAACCACTGCTCTACCAGGTCTCCTTCGCTTTCAAGGACAATAACCCCATAATCTTTGGGAAGGAGGTAAATGCTGTGGGCTGTGAGAATCCAGAGGAGGGAGACCAAACTCTCTCCAGGGTGGGGCAGGAAGGGTGCCCTGGAGGATATCATGCTTGTCCTGTGTGCTGAGGGATGAGTCGAAGCCAGAAAGGTGAGGCATGGATAAAGGGTGCTACTAGCAGAAGGATGGGTCTGATTATTCTCTGCCTGGAGGAGAGAGTACATGGTCAGACAGAAGCAGACACTCTGGGTGTGAGGCCCAGCAATCTGCGCTGTCCAGGTGATTCTGATGCTTGTAGAGGACTAAGAACCTCTATGCTGAAGCATAAATGCCAGGGGCAGTGGGAGTCACAAGGCTGCAGATGGCAAGGGGCTTCTGATAGAGGGGTACTCTTAAACAAACAAACAAAAAAACTTGCTGTCGAGTTGATTTCAACTCATAGCGACCCTATAGGACAGAGCAGAACTGCCCCATAGGGTTTCCAAGGAGCTGCTGGTAGATTTAAACTGCCAGCATTTTGGTTAGCAGCCAAATGCTTAGAAACTGCGCCACCAGGGCTCCTCTACAATGACAGTGACCCAGAGTACAGCTGTTAGAGCTTTACTTCCTGGAGTAGACAGTTTCTCCCTCTTTCTGAAAATTGGTATTTTAGGATCTGATTATTGTGAACTCAGTTCAGTTCAATTTGTGGTTTCTGGAGATGGTGATACATTGGCAGATTTCTCTAGAATATGGGGTATATGCCAACTATGTACTCAAGGTGTCACCAGGATAAGGCAGGCCCTCACAAACCTTTTCTTGTTTAGGTCCAGATAAACCAGCACACACTCCTCCCCTGCCCCATTCCAGCAGTAGTTCTTGGGGCTGGCCGACTTCCCATTGGGCCCATAATTACTGACCCAGCTATCATAGCTTGTTTTCTGAGAAAGACAGAGTTCTGGAGGCAAATTTTGGCACTGAATAAAAGATTCCAAGCTCGAATCCTCAAGTGAGTTGAGAAGGGCTCTCGTGTGGGCCAATGACAGCAAGTCTGTTTTCTCATAGGCCAGAGCTCAAAGATGACAGGAGAAACCATCGATCCACCCCAGGACAATCAGTTGCACTGCAGCTCTTTGGTTGTTCACAGTAAACATAATTTTCAGTACAATTACATTGTGAAGCTTATCCCATTATACCTTGTATACAAAAAAATGATTATATTCAGACCATACAGTTGCACTCGAGGGCTTTGGCTGGCAAAACCAAAAACCACAGCAGTTTCCTCAATTAGCTCAAACTTGCACACATCACCTACAGATTCTGTGACTGTTTCAGGCTTTATCAGAAACTCAAGTTTCTGATCTGGTTTTGTTTGGGAACAAACAGGGACCAGGCTAATTCCAGAGTTTGCGAAGTAGGACTTAGGAACCCACCCGTAACAGAGCTCTCATATCAGTCTGGATAGATTCACTGCTGAACTTCTTTAGTTCTATGTTTTTTTTGCTTAGGATTCAGATTCCAAGAAGGTAAAAATCAGTTGGCCTGTTTTGGGTAATATGCCTACCTTTTCCTTTGACTAGGTAAAAGTGAAAAAAACCCTTGCCACTGAGTTGATTTCGACTCATAGTGACCCTATAGGACGGAATAAAACTACCTTATAGGGTTTCCAAGGCTGTAATCTTTATGGAAGCAGATTGCCACATCTTTTTCCCTCAGAGCAGCTGGTGGGTTTGAACTCCTGACCTTTTGGTTAGCAGCTGAGCACTTAACTGCCACTTAACTACCACCAGGGCTCCTAGATAAGAGTAACCACGCCTAACCAAACCCATTACTGTCAAGTTGATTCCAACTCATAGCTACCCTATAGGACAGAATAGAACTGCCGCATAGGGTTTCCAAGGAGCAGCTGATGATTGCAAACTGCCAGCCTTTTGGTTAGCAGTTGCGCTCTTAACCACTGCACCACCAGGGCTCCTAGGTAAGAGTAGGACCCCTGAATTTTAGTCCTACTGGATTGTGATGAGGAAGAAGTATTTCAATAAAATAAATAATGATACTGTTAGGTAAGAGAAATGGATACTGGCCATGCAAAATTTAATAAATATCCACTGTTTGAACTGCAAGGGACAGCAATAATACATTCAGAAAACAATTACTAAGTGCCACTTGATGGGCCTACACTGTCCTGTTCTTGGTATTAGCACTACTCATCATAGGTGCCAAAGCAGGTGAAAAAAAAAGAAAGTTGTGAAACCAATCAATGATTCTGCTAATGCCAAGTCAAGATAAAAACCATTAAAAAGTTAGTGACTCTATTAGCATAATATTTCATTTTAAAATTTATTTTATATTTTGCTTTAGATTTTAGGTTTCAGTGTTTATTTACTGAAGTTTTTATTTATCAAAAACAATATATTTGGTTATTAATGAAGCCATATTCCTAAATATGGTAGATAAAACAAGCTCCTTTAGTTGAAAGCAGCAGAGGCCCATATTAGATTATGCATAGGAACCCATTTTTACCAATTATATCTCCTGGTTTCAGTAGACTTTCTACTCTACTGTATTGTCTCACTGTCACTGATAAATTGTCCTCATCACTGAATTTTTTAATGCAGTGAAAAGGTGCTAGATTCATTAAAATTAATCTAAGAAAAATTACCTGAGTTTTGATAATGCACATCAGAATTATGCCAGCAAAATGAAAGGACAAAGAATCAATTACCTAGATAGGTCCTGATTATTTAGATGGTTTAGAGAAGGAGAAAGAATTTCTTTCCTAAATTACCAATTTATAATTAATTTAACCTAAATTAGTTTTCCTTTCATTGAGTTTAGTGTTGGACTGATTAGCTTTTCTATAAATAAAAGCCAGTTGATTTTGAAAAAGAAATTGTAATCAAGGGAAATATGACAACTCTTTTGTTACAGGAAAAAATATTTGCTTTAGTTTTACTTAGATCTAGAAATATCTTTAACATTTCCTTCCTATGGTGTACTCAGAACTTTTTCATGACATCCATATATGATATATTAATAACAGTTGTTTACCACAGTATGTTTATATAGTATTTAAAATTACTCTTCAAAATAGGAGCAAAAGGTTCAGTTACATTTTCTGGCTAAAGAAGACCATCATAAGCAACTGAATGAAATTGAGAAATACTATGCCACCATAACAGGTCAATTTGGATTGGTAAAAGAGAATCACGAAAAGTTAGAACAAAATGGTAGGTGCTACCTTTTTTAAACTTCCATGTTCTATAGGGAATGTATAAATGGACTAGTTTATAACGATTAAGTTGACTTTACTGATGCTGTATGATAATGGTAAATGGTGATTTAATGAATATTATTTAAATTCTCAGTAATAATTATGTATATTACATCGGGGCTATTTCCCTCATTTGTGTTGGTAATACTTTCTTTAAGATGTATATTGCATATAATGTTTTCCTAAATGTCTTTTGTATTGCAGTACAGGAAGCAATACAGTTAAACAAAAGATTGTCAGCTTTAAATAAAAAACAAGAATCTGAAATATGCAGTTTAAAGAAGGTATGATTGATAAAGTTTTATAGCATTATGTAAAAATTATAGTCTAAAATAATTTGGTCTTATGGACTATTACTAGAAAATAGTTGGGTAGATTTTTTTTGGTAGGAAGATACCTAAAATATTTTTAACATAGCCTCATAAGCTTTGTTATGATTCCCATAAATTTAATGAATAAATTTGTTTCAATCTGTTCAAAATATTTTCTTTGATTTGTAACCAGTAGCATGCATTTTTTATGGTGACACAAATAGCCAATAGGCATTCACTGTATGTCAACCTCGTTAGCACCATTTATTCATTCATTATTCAGTATTTATTAAGTGACCTTGATGTGCCAGGTACTCTATAGCACTAAGGATACAGCTATGAAGAAAATAGAACATGTTCCTGCTTTTATGACGTTTATAGTCTTATGGAGGAGTTAGACATAAAACAAATAATCATACAAATCAAATAATTTAAAACCGTTGTAAGTGATATGAAGAAAAACTAAAATGACATTATAACAAGTGAACTTATTTACACTGGGGGTCAGAGAAGGCGTCTTTGGACACATGAATAGGAGATAGGCAAAGGGGTGTGGGAGGGACAAGAATAATGTCACAGGCAAGGGGAACAACGTGCAAAAGCTTTGAGGCAAGAAAGAGTTTAATATATTTGAGAAACTAGAAGAAGTCTGGTATGCCTGAGACATCATGAGTGAATAGGTGCATTTGACATTTATTGGTAGCTTATTGAGCATCAGTATCCCCTTATCCCCTTCCTAAACTTTTACAGATTTTTGTTTTGATTCCCCCAGCTTCAGAGCTGAGCCATAAATTGGCAAAAGGCCATAAGCATATTCCATTCCTCTGGCCACAGTCATTGGTTCAGGAGCAGACAAATGACCTTAGCTAGTGGTTATAAACCTGAAAGCATGTAATCCCCGCTGTAACTGGCGACCATCCTGCAACCATGAGAGAAGCCAAAAAGGAGGAACCTGACAGTGTAGAAGCCAGACTGGTGAGATAGAAACCTGTTCTTTAATAACATTGTTGAGTCCCTGGATTGACCAGCCTCCTCTTGCACTACCTTTAGACTTTGCAGTTATATGAGCCAATAAATCCCCATTATTATTTAAGCCAGTTTGATTAGGGCCTGTTCAGTGTTCATTATTTACAACTGAAAATATCCTAACTGATATAAGGGGGAAATGGTGTGAGAGGAAAAAGAAGTAGGCAAGGCCTTGTTCTTTCTTCAGAGAATGGCCCCTCTTTTCTTTTCCTCGCTCCCTCCAAAGCCCCATCTCAAATAATACCACTTTAAATCCTTTTAGGATCATCTCCCTACTCCTGAGGGAATTGAGTATATATCCTTACTGGCACTCAGTACATGTTTTGAGATAACATTTACTGAGTTGTTTTTATTAATAAATTAATAAACTTTTATTAATAATTTGCATTTACTTTGTAGTTATTTATTGATATGTAAAATATCTTCCATTTGTCCCTCCAGATCCACTGTCCACATTTATCCATCCCTCTCTCTGCATGGAAGACTGACCTTTATGAATTGCCTCAATAGCTCTCATGCCCTCTGGCTTCCTGCTGAGTTGAGCCAATGAAAAGCAAAGGCAGGAGGTCTGTGGGAGGGAAGAGAGTGAACTGTGGTATCTATTTTCTTTCTTCCTTCCCTTTGAGGTCACTTCTGGCTGACCATGTCCCTAATCAGGTCAAGTTGGCCTACTTTACTTAACTCTTTCCTCTGAGTTCCAGTAATCTCTTTTCTTAATCCTTTCGTGCCTAGGAGTGATGACAGCTTCATTGCTGCTAGCCCTTGGAACTTCCACCATCCCTTGTGGCTCCTTTATATCCTGTCCACAGCTTTGCAGATTATCCTGATTTATGAATGCCATTCATTTTCTGTTGGGATTCTGATACTCTTGATTAGACTGTAACATTAGTAAGGCCAGGTTTGTGAATTTTGTTTCTGCATAGACTAGTTGATTCAGTACAGAGAAAATTTTGTTTCAAGTCAAAGATTACAACCCTAATCTCACCTAGCCACTTTTCAAATATATATTTTGTTCTTGAAGGGATAAAAGAATATGAGTGGTGTTGTCCAAATGCATCATTAATTTTGAGGAAAAAGAATTCCCACTAATTTGGATCAATGTTGTCATTTTGAATATAAAGGATTCTGCTTTTAAAAGCGGGGGAGGGACCCTAAGCATTATAGCTTTATATACATGAAATTTAATTCTTTTTATATTTAACTATAATGTTACTATAATTTGAGGTTTATTAAGGACCTAGAGACATAAGCATAAGTTTTGAAGAAGAGTGTTTTGTACAGTCAGATGGATAACATTTACTTTAGTGCATAATTCAAGCAATTAGGAATTTTTTTACTACTTTCTTTTTAAATACTACTTCAAGGAAAGCTAGGACATTTGGGATAAAGATTGAGGTGGTTTCTAAATGCTAAGCCAGAGTTCAGAGACTACTAATATTTGTGACACTATTGACAGTTATATGTGTAGGTCTTTGATCTTACAATGGTCACTAAATTGATTGGACTCTATTCTTATACCTGAGGAGTCCAGAAATTAAGTGCAAAGGTGCAGCTGAGTATAGAACCAAAATGGATGGTCACAATCATATATTTTATCGTTTAAAACCTATGTCTATCCAGCAAACTGCCTCAGAGGAGAATTTATATACAGAAAACATTTCTTTTCAGTCACATTCTATAATATGAAACATTTTGTCTTAGGCTGGTTCTGTAGAGAAGCAAAACCAGTTAAGCATATAAATATATATATATAGAGAGATTTATATCAAGGAAACAGCTCACGCGATTGTAGAGACTAGAACGTCCCAAGTCCGTGGATCAGGGTAGAGGCCTCTCCCAATTCACGGAGCCGCAGAAGCTGGTGAGCCCAAGATCAGCAGGTCAAGAGCAGGGCTCCCGCTCACAGGCCATGAAGGTTGATGAATTCCAAGATTGTCAGGCAAGACCACAAGGTTTCTCCTGATTCACGTAGCTGCAGGCACTGGCCCACCCAAGATCAGCAGGTCAGAAAGCAGGGCTCCGCTCACAGGCTGTGAAGATTGACGAATCCCAAGTTTGGCAGATAAGCTGACAGCTCAAGTCCCAAGAACCGGAGATGAGATGACAAGAGGCAGCCACAGGATCCAGAGTGAGCAAAAAGCCAGAACGTCTGCTTATATTCAGATGCAGGCCACACCCCCAAGGAGATTTCCTTTCATCTGATTGGCTACTCACAGTATATTCAGTCATGGGAATGATCACATTAAAACACTGAGAATCATGCCCATCCAAGTTGACACACAATCTTAACCATCACAGATGTTGTCAGTTGCTGTTGAGTTGATTCTGACTCATGTTGACCCCTTTTTAATATAAGGAGAAAAAGCTGTGATTTAAAAAATTTGTCTGGAATCCCAAATCAGAGAATTGTTAAAAGGACCATTCATTTTTGTAATATAAACTTCAAATGCAAATATAAATAGTGAGTAACTGACTCAGTGGTTGTGAATAAGATGTTTTAAGTGATGGCTCTTCAGTTTCAGTTCTTTCATTTATTTTTTTATTGAATATTTTTTATCAATGACTTAAATGATTAAATGATATCCATATTAACTTCAGTTATTGTAGTAAAATATTCCTGTGCTTTTATTTCCTTCAAATTCAATGAGTTCAATTAGTCCTTGCATTATTATGAAAAGCTTATACATCAAATTTTTTTTACTAAATTGTGTATTTTTCACATTAAATAAAAACAAGATATTTCATTGTAACACACTAGACTATTTCTAACATATGGTTTAAAACTCTGACCTATAGATAAGGATGAGGTTCATGTAAATCCATGGAGAGATACGCTTGGCAGATTTACATAAGAGGGTGGAGAATGTCTTTTTCTATGCATGAGTGGACTAGTGTTTGCTCTTGACCACACTAGTCCCTTTTTCCTAGGTGTTGGGGCTTAGGCCAGGGCTACCTAAATGTATTAATGGGTATGCAGTGGTGGTGGCCTTGGTCACTCTAGAAAGCATTACAACCAGTGACCATGCTGCCAAATAGTTCTTGGAAGAGAGATTGTACAAAGGGGTAAAGTGAGAGAGTCTTCTTACCTTTGAGAGTTCAGAGTCTGAGTTGCTGAATGGATGAAAAATTTAATATACATTTTAAGAGCCAAATTTTAATACTTTAGACGTTCTAGGTATGATAATGTGTGTTTTGTATTATTTATATATCTTTGATTTTTAACTTTAGGAAAAGCTTTTTTCTTTTTCGACTTTTTTTTCGGAAGCTAATCAAGTCTAGTAACACTGGTTATATCACTTATTTAAAACTTCTAATCATTAATTTCCCCAAAGATAATTTTCATTTTTCTTTTATGCTGTTGTATGATTTTGTCCAGGACAGTTAAGTTACTGGTTTATGATAAGATGGAATTCCTTTTTTTTTTTTTTGTGGAGAAAAGTTAAACAGACCAAACTTAATTGTTAGATAAAACTAGGTATTACAGTTCTGAATGCTGCGTTCTCCATTATGGCAATCATGAAGATTTCCTGATACTATCTGTGAGCAGCATTCATAACTTCTGCTATTTGTCTGAGTAAATGTCAGAGCGCTCAAGGAGAGAGTGATATTAAACAGACTACTCCATACCCGAAAAGGAGGGGTGAAGGAGAAAAGAGTATAATATTTATGACTCTAGGAACTATAAGTTGTAATTTAATGAGATCAAAGCATGTGCTGTTTATTTGCTGCACTAACAGCTTTGAATAAAATGCTTAGAAAACAGACAATGCACTAAAAATTCAGGATACTTAAAAGACTATAAAGGGTATAAAATCAAAAGCATGTTTTAAGTGGAAAATCATCTCATGGAGGTCTCTGATATTAATTTATTATGCTTTTCAGATTAAGTAATTAATATATAAAAGAAAAAGAAAGACTTCAGAAATTAATTCTTGTTTTTGTTATCC